TTCATTGAAAATTTACCGCTCTTTCCATACATGCCACCCTTATTATTATAACCTACCACCAATATGATACCAATCAACCAAATTCACCATCTCTAAGAACTTGACATCCCTTCGTTGTTCATGATACAAATATGCAACAACTCTAAACCCAAAACAAAATATTAAGTTTAAAGGCTGTATAACATAATGCTCAATAATATAATATAATATAAATTGAAAATTCAAAGTTTTGACTTAGCGGGCACGACAATGATGCGCTGCATCACTTCTTCTTCTAACATAACGTATAATTAATATTTAATTAAGTTCATTGAAACAATATAAAAAGTAGTATTTTTTTATTTATGAATATGATGCTTTGAAATTTGTATTCTTATTTTATTTTGAAAATGCTTTTATTGATAAGTGAAATAAGCATAAATTTAAGTTTATCTAGGTATTTATATATAAATCAATTATTACTTTGTAAGGTATGTAAACCCACATTAGAGATCATTGAGTTTCATTAGATAGCACTTAGTCTTAATTTTTGGTCATTACTATAATTTTTGATATTATATATGTTTTATGATCATGTATACAAAGATATATCATACTTTTGAAGTGGCTTAGTGAACCGTAGATAATTAGTCAATTATAGCTATTTGGTTGTTGTGGAAGATATTTAGTGCCGCCTTAGGTAAATAATCTCTCTTTAGAATAAGACATATAATGTTCAATTATATATTTTATTAATACAAATTTATCAAAATTTAAAATAGTTCTATATATGATTGGTGTCATAATTACATGATCATCTAATTGTCATATGTTTCATTTTACTTAAACTCATCAAATTTATTTATAGCATTTTGGACGTGTTAAATTGTGTTATAGGGCTTATAAATACCTTTTCTTATTTATTTATAAAGATTGACGTGTAAATTGATTTATAACATAAACCATTTTAAGAAAAAACTTTTAGAGAAAATTTACTAGAAGATATAGATCCCATCTAAAGCTCAAAAAGACCATTTATCATGACCATTCTTTTTTTCTCTCTAAGATGTTTTATAAGATCTTTATTTAAAATATTATGCTATATTAAAATAGTTTAGAGAAAGGCATTAGGTTAGCTCCAAAGTTTAAGAGAATTATAAGTTGGTGATTTTCTACTAGACTAAATAGCTCTTTCCTACCCTTTAAGATAGGCGATTGAGGAATAATTAAATTAATAAAGATCATAAGCTGGAGTCATACAGTACTAAGTTAGTGGATGGTTCAAATATGGATGATTCATTAATAATGTAAATTTTCTGATGTCATAATTACTCTAATAGTTAGCTTAATTTTCTCGCACTTTATTTTTTACTTAATTAGTTATGCTTGATTGTTAGTTTTCTAATTTGTGCTAATCAAATTACGTTGATGTTTTTAAAAGCACTCTTTACGAGTAAAGTGAAGCGTGTGCCCCCTACTTCGCCGATTTTTTTTTGTAAATGTTAAATTTTTAATTATTTCAGCCAACAACTAGGAACAATTTGGAATTTTAACTTGCAGGTTTACAATCAATATTTGCCTTCAAATTATATATTGTACCACATTTTTTTTATTTTATATTCAACTTTTAGGTCATATTTTATACTTTATAATTTTTAATGAATGTATTTATACATTAATAAATTTGTATAGCCTATTAGCGCTTTGGTTAATAAAAGCTCTGCTTTGCTCTGCGCTTTGCTCTTTGCTCTTTGCTCTTTGAAGCAACAATAAAGTTTTGTACATCACATTGCGCTTTGCGCTTTGATAACACAGTCAGTTGAAAAACTTAGTTTTTTAATATAAATTATAATGCCTAATGTACTTGATATAGTTAGCAATTCAATTTGTGTTTCATAGTTAAATATTCACTCATATAGCATAGTCATATAAACTACAATCTACACCTGAGATTTGTGTGGCGTCTATGATCTTCACAACACGAGTCATTTGTATGGTTTTAATCCCCTTTAGTCTCCTTTGAGAATTTTAATTTATTCTAACCATATAAAAATTGCTTTCAATCAATCTTAAAAATTAATTTTCCATACATGCAATCTTTAATTGTTTTTTAAAATTAATTCTTCGTTAGTAAAACTTAAAAAGTATAGAAATTTAGAATTTTCTTAATTTTATTCATTTTCTAAAATATTAGCTTATTTCCTG